CGGAAATAGAGCCAAAACGCTCGAGGAGATCATGAACAAATCAGTCGACTTGGTACTTCCTCTCTCTTGCTGTAGCTAGCTCCTTATTTGTTTTTCTTGATTTGCATATACATATAACAAGGTAAGGAAGTGAGCATGTGTTTTGTTGCTGAGACAATGGAGTAGAAAAGAAAAGTTATTGAGGATTCGTATGTCTTAAGAACTTTTTAAGAATTTTCTGTTTTTTTTTTTAAGTTGAAAATTTGAGAATGAAACTGGCTGATGAGGCTTTTCAATTATCTTCGACGTAACTTAATTTTTGTAAAAATGTTTTCCTAGCCATAACCCCCTACTGACTTTTTCATGGCATTTTCTTGGCAACCAAACAAAGCAACTATGATCTGTTTGAATATGAATTGCAACAAATTTCCTTTTTATAGTAATACCTTTATAGTTGCTAGATTCACGTAGTTTTCACTTTCATCTTGAGGGAGAAAATATGGATCGATTTTTGCCAACAATAGGAAAGGATTAATAAATAAGAGTAAGGTTTAAACCTTGAGGCGGCTACTATTCGCCTATGATTATGTTACCGGAAAGATACAGGTTGAAGTGTGAATATAAGCACCGAACCAAGTGGAACAAGTGAGTTGGCATTGGCAAGGCTACGGCCCCTTGGCATCTTTGAGTAACGTAGTTGATAAGGGAATCATTATTAAATTGGCTTATCAAATAGGGTTCGGGTGATGAAATTGGCTTCTTTGCCTGAATATTTATTTGACTAAGAAGTTGCCGATTGTTTTCAGGAACGGATACCTGTAGAGGAAGTGTTGGAGCAGCTGAAATGTACCAGGGCTGGACTAACTTCAGAGGAAGGAGCTCGTCGACTCCAAGTTTTTGGACCAAACAAACTAGAAGAGAAAAAGGTTTGATTCATTACCTTTACTGTATGTGGCTTCCTTTATTTTGCATTCTTCCATATGACAATCTGATGTTTTGCAAACAGGAGAGCATGATTGTCAAGTTTTTGCGTTATACGTGGAACCCTTTGTCATGGGTGGAAGCTGTTGTTATCATGACTATTGTCATGGCAAATGGACTTAGGGGATCTACAGACTGGCTGGACTTTGTTGGTATCGTTGGGTTGTTGCTGATTAACTCTACCATCAGATTTATAGAAGACAATAAAGCTGGTAATGCTGCAGCAGCCCTCATGGCTGGTCTTGCTCCCAAAACTAAGGTGAAAACATAGGCTCTTCTTTGTTTGAATATATTCATCTTATTTTTTTTCCTTTAACTTTGGTTTCAGTTTTTAATTTTCTTCTTCTGGGACAACCTGTAGGTTTTAAGAGATGGTAGATGGAGTGAACAAGATGCTGCAATTCTGGTGCCAGGGGACATAATCACCATTAAATTGGGAGACATAATTCCTGCAGATGCTCGTCTTCTTGAGGGTGATCCTTTAAAGATTGATCAATCTGCTCTCACTGGAGAATCTGTTCCTGTCACTAAAAGCCCCTCAGATGAAGTGTTTTCTGGTTCCATATGTAAACAGGGTGAAATAGAAGCAGTTGTTATTGCAACGGGTGTGCACTCGTTTTTGGGTAAAGCTGAGCATTTAGTGGACAGCACCAATCAAGTTGGGCATGTTCAGAAGGTTCTCACAGCCATTGGTAATTTCTGTATTTGTTCAATTTTTGTTGGAATGTTAATTGAGGCGGTTGTCATGTTCGGGATCCAGCACCGCATGTTCTGGGCTGGAATTGACAATTTACTAGTTCTCTTGATTGGAGGGATCCCGATTGCCATGCCAACCATGTTATCTGTCACCATGGCTATTGGTTCTCATAGGCTCTCTCAGCAAGGTGCTATTACCAAGAGAAGGACAGCCATTGAGGAAATGGCATGCATGGATGTTCTCTGCTGTGACAAGACAGGGACTCTGACCCTGAACAAACTGACTGTTGATAGAAAACTGATTAAAGTGTTTCTAAAGGGGATAGGGGTGGACCAAGTTATCCTTTATGCAGCTAGAGCTTCAAGAACTGAAAATCAGGATGCCGTTGATGCGGCCATTGTTGGAATGCTTGCAGATCCCAAAGAGGTATACTTTCTTGCTCTTTCTCCTCTCTTGTTAGGTAGTAGATTTGAGGATTTCTACATCATTTTAATTATTAATTGGCCAGGCACGAGCTGGTATTAGGGGGGTTCATTTCCTTGCATTCAATCCTGTAGACAAAAGAACTGCTCTTACCTACATTGATTCTTATGGAAACTGGCATCGGGCTAGCAAAGGTGCCCCTGAGCAGGTATCTGTGATTTTCCTCATGCTGGTATATCCAGTTAGAAAGTTGTAAGGAAGTAACACCTATCCATGTGTTTTCATTGTCCTGCGACGGATATTGCACCTCTGCAACTCCAAGGGAGATGTTCGGGAAAAGGTTCATGCAGCAATTGACCTGTTTGCTGAACGTGGACTTGGATCATTAGCAGTGGCAATACAGGTTTGCAACTGTTCACATTGTTAACATCCGTTCATTAAGTAAATTGAGCTAATGATGTTTCTGTTTTCTTTCTCTTCTTTTTATTTTTTATTTTTTTCAACTTCTTAATTTTTGCAGGAAATACCTGAGAAGACAAAAGATAGTTCAGGGGAACCATGGCAGCTTATTGGTTTGTTGCCTCTATTTGATCCTCCAAGGCATGACAGTGCTGAAACCATTATAATGGCTCAAATCCTTGGCGTGAATGTGAAGATGATTACTGGTGAGACTAAATATTTTACTTAGTTTTAGTTCAAAAAGTTTATTTATTTATTCTAAATTGATGATTACCTCGTTCCTTACGTTATACACACCTCGTTTTATTATATAGGTGATCAGCTTGCCATCGCCAGAGAAACTGGGAGGAGGCTTGGAATGGCAACGAACATGCACCCTTCTTCCTCCCTGCTTTTTGAAGATAAGGATGCTTCAATTGCTGCTGCTTTCCCTATAAATGAGTTCATTGAGACGGTAGATGGATTTGCTGGAGTACTACCAGGTGGTTTAATATATTTGTAAATTTTCTACAAAAACATGTACCTTTTTTTCTTTCATTCTAATTAAAGAAACCACTAATGACTTAATAACATCAAGTTTCCATAAAAAGTAATGATATTACTTGATTTTTGTCAAGCTCACTGTTGCCTTCCGGTGTAATAGTTCTTGGATTTTGTCACTTGTATGCATTTTAAAATTTTTTTGCTATTGGCCATCCACCTTTCAAGTTACTACCCTGGTTCCTCTTTCTAACAATTTTTTTCTGCCTATGCTAGAGCACAAATATGAAATTGTTAAGAGGCTGCAAGAGAGGAAACATATCTGTGGTATGACTGGAGATGGTGATGCACCTGCTTTGAAGAAGGCTGATATTGGAATTGCTGTTGCCAATGCTTCAGATGCTGCTAGAAGTGCATCAGATATTGTCCTTACTGAACCAGGGCTTAGTGTCATTATAAGTGCGGTGCTAACTAGCAGGGCTATTTACCAAAGGATGAAGAACTACACAGTTAGTTATATTCTAGTTTACCTTCATTGGCATTCTCTTGTTCATTGTTTCATGGAGCTTATTGATATGTGATAACCACAAATCTTTCCTTTCAAATTTGCAGATCTATGCAGTTTCTATTACCATTCATATTGTGGTAAGTATATCTGAAATTGTCTTTGAGAACTTTATGCCACTGCAAAAGGTGTCCAATTTTTACCAAAAAATATGGATCTAGCTAATACATTTGTTTGTTCCTATATTTGGCAGTTTGGTTTCATGTTTATTGCCTTGATATGGAAGTTTGACTTTGATCCTTTTATGGTCTTAATTATTGCTATCCTAAATGATGGTGAGATATTCTTCATTAAATCTCAGTGTTAATATGCATTCGTTTCTGTCTCGTTTGGTACAAGCCAATTTTGACTGATCAGAATAGTCATGAATCTAATGTCCCGCATCAATATGTCTATAGGGACAATCATGACAATATCAAAAGACAGAGTGAAGCCATCTCCGCAGCCAGACAGCTGGAAGTTGAGAGAGATTTTCACTACTGGCATTGTGCTTGGAGGGTATTTGGCATGGATGACTGTATTATTTTTCTCGGCTATGGGAGACGTTAATTTCTTCACAGTAAGTATACTTTTGCGATCTTTCTCTTCATGTTTTGGTAACATTTCTTATGGTTTTGCCCAACTTTTTCAATATTACAGGACAAGTTTCATGTAAGACCCCTGAGGGATAGTCCTGAGGAAATGACGGCAGCTGTATACCTCCAAGTGAGTATTGTGAGCCAGGCCCTTATTTTTGTGACACGATCCCGAAGCTGGTCATATGTTGAACGCCCGGGGCGTCTGTTAATCAGTGCTTTTATAGTCGCTCAGCTGGTAAGATTTCATATTCATAACCCTTCTGGTTTTTTGGAAATGTTATTTGGTTACAAGGTTTCTGCAACCTCTTCATCTCCTTTTTTCTTGTTCTTTTCTGAGGCTTATGTGAGATCACTGTTTTGAAACTTTCTTATTACAATTCTCCACTATCTAATTTCGTATGGTTTTTATTTTATTCCTTGTTTCTTTTTTCTTCTTTATTAATGCATAAAATCTTGAAATAATTTTGTAAACAATTCTCCACTTGTCAGGTAGCAACCCTGATTGCAGTCTATGGAATTTGGGGTTTTGCTAATATAGAAGGTGCTGGCTGGGGATGGGCTGGAGTGATCTGGCTTTATAGTGTTGTGACTTATATCCCTCTTGATCTTCTCAAGTTTGCCATCCGCTATCTCCTTGGTCGTAATGTGAGGGATACACTTTTACAGGACAAGGTATTATTCTCTATGATACTTAACACGAAGAGCTATTTTGGTTTTACTATGTATTGTCAACTTCACATAACATCTTTGCTGAGATTTCAGTTTCTCTGTTTCTGTTTTGTGCTGTTGTCTTCTAATTTCATATCTGGTATTCTAACTTCCATTACAGACCGCCTTCACTACAAAAAACCCTTTCAATGACAAAGACAGTTATAGCAAACGCCAAGCCGAGGTTATCAGGTAAGTGAACTATGTTACAGATAAAAATTAACGCAACGTGCATTGAAACCAAAGAAGAAAAACTCATGAATGTAGCATTTTTGTTTCTAATGGAATCTTTAGGAATCTGATTCCAGAATGGGTATATATTTTCTTGTAACTTTAACTGGAAGATCTTTGCCTTTTAGCTCTCAAGGAATAGGTGTTGTTACTTAAAAAAGGTGATTTTTGCAGGCTGAGGGAGCTTACACGTAAGGGGTATGTTGAATCAGCTGTTAAGCTGAAGGGACTTCACATTGATACGGTAGCCTTTGATGCATCCACAATGGAGAATTTTCTGCAAGCGTGGGACAAGGAGAAGCCGGTGAGATACACTGCTCAGCAGCTGGATGACTTTACAAGAAATTACTCGAAAAGGTTGGGGTCTGGAGCATATGGGGATGTTTATGAAGGGCAGTTTCCCAATGGAGTCAAGATTGCAGTGAAGTTGCTCAAGGAAAAATACGAGGGAGCAACAAAAAAGCAGTTCATGGCAGAGATAGGCACAATTGGAAGAACACACCACATTAATTTGGTTAGACTTTACGGTTTTTGCTATGATGGAAATACAAGTGCGCTTGTATATGAATTCATGGAAAATGGATCGCTTGATAATTACTTGTTTGGGAAGAAGGAGATGATTGAGTGGGAAAATTTACATGTAATAGCAGTGGGGATAGCCAAAGGAATTGCTTATTTGCATCAAGACTGTCAACAGAGAATTATTCACTATGATATAAAGCCAGCCAATATTCTACTTGATGCGAACTTCCTCCCGAAGGTTGCAGATTTTGGACTTGCAAGGCTTTGCAACAGGGACAGCACTCATGATTCAGTTACCGGATTCAAGGGAACCCTTGGTTACTCTGCCCCGGAGTTTTTTCTGAGAAATCATCCCATAACTTACAAATGTGATGTGTATAGTTTTGGAATGTTGTTGTTTGAGATAGTTGGGATGAGGAAAAACAAGGTTAGTGGTTCCTCTGAAAGCCTAGATTGGTTTCCGAAGGTTGTGTTGGATAAGTACCAGAAGGGTGAATTGGCTGAACTAATAATAAGTTGTGGGATTAAAAAGGAGGATATGGAAAAGGCAGAGAGAATGTCATTAGTGGCATTGTGGTGTGTTCAAGACTCGCCAGGAGCTAGGCCACCAATGAATGCCGTGGTAAAGATGCTGGAAGGAGGAGTGGAGATCATGCCACCTCCTAAACCCACTCATTTACTGTTCTCATCATTTGGGACAAGTGCAGTCAAGCCACCAAATGCTGCCACTGGTTCGAGCTCCTCCTCGAGTGAAGAATCCGCTTCTTATTGGTATAAAGAGAGTCAAGAGACCACTTCAATCATGGCCAAGTATGAAATACAAGTGGCCATTAGTTAACAAGACTAAAATCCTGTTTCCAGAAAGTGTATGTTTTGTCTTGATTTTTGTTATTATAAAGTTTCTC